TTGTGGACTATAGAGCTAATGTGAGAAACAACAACAACAACAACAACAACAACTACGCGCCAGGGCATGGGAATAACGGAGCAAACAGGACAAAGAGGCGGCAGATGGGCAGACAGCCAGATGTACAAAAACAAATGTAACAGCAAAAGCGAGATCAAGGTACCCAACACAGCAGAGTAGGCAGGGAGGTCATGAAAAAAGAAACACAGCACAGAGGTCCTCTCCTAGACGAGACACCCAGTCGCTCTCCTGCCCGCCCCCGTATCCCACGCCCCCCGCCATCGCTCCTAACAGCATGCGCTTGGGGAAGCGGTTGTCCTCCATGTGCATAACAAAGCCTGCGAAACACAGTCTCCGTTTGCGCACGGTGGCCTCGATGGTTTCCTCGCAGCCTGCCTGGATGAGGGCCTGGGCATAGGACAGGGGGCGGTCTGAGCGTTTCCGCTTGCTCCTCCAGCCGATGCACCGTGTAAGGAGCTGGGGGTGGGTCCCATTTAGCTTCGTGTAGTGCTCCGCTGTTAGGCTCCACGAGGCGCACCCATATAGGAGAGTCTCCACCACTTCAGCCTGGAGAAGCCGGATCTTGAGCTGGCGGGTGACCCGTCGCCTGTCGTACATCGAAGCGCTGTTCCGGCGGTAGCACTTCCACACTCGGCAGCTGCGGCTCGTGATCTCCCGGTCGGCCTTCCCGTCCGCGGAGATGGTACGTCCGAGGTACACAAACCGATCTGTCTGCTTGTACGTCTGGCCGGCGGCGCTGACCGTGAACGGGCGTTCCTCGATCCCTTTCGGCAGCATGCACATGATCTCCGTCTTTGGCTCCGATACCATCAGTCCGAACAGGCCGGCCACGCGCACGATGACCGACATCATCTTCTCGAGACTCTCCGGCGAGCGCGAGACGATGGCCGCGTCGTCAGCGTAGAGCATGGCCCACAAGGCCTCCGCGTCCGTCACCACCGTCGTCTTCTTCCCCGCCGACCTTCCCTGCTTGCCCGTGTACCCCACTTGTGTCCCGATCTTGACCATGTCCGCCGTTACCTTGGGGTCCTTGTCGAACTCGGC